CACACGCACACGCACACGCACACGCACACACACACACACACACACACACACACATATATATAAGGGTCGGACTCAAATAGTTTCGAGGATATAAACTAAAAAAGGATAAAAATAATAAATACAAAAATAAGCATTTGGATGATTAAACCAATATTTTAGTTTTACTACTTTTATATTTAATTTTATTTTTATTTTATGACCTTCAGCTGTAACCACCTGCAAGAGGGATTCAGATCATTATTCTACTTGTTTAAAGCGTGCTATAGAGGAAGCGTGGCCAAAATTTATTGCAGGTACTTTCTAATAATTTATAAATTATCACTTTAATTTATATATTTTGTAAACACATTATATGTATTACAATCATAGACATAGTATATATAGACTGTGCATTTTGGCTGCAGAAGTGTACAAACTTTAGAAAGAGACAACATACTTTGGATCTTATTCTCTCTTTGTCTATCAATATCTGGAGTGGGGCAAAAATTTCAATATGGCTTCTGTGCTTGACAGAGTGGACAGAGTTGTTGTTAACGAGACGATCTCGTCTCTCGGCTGCGGCCTCGGTCCCGTCGCCGCTGTCTGACCTCCATCGCTTGTTGGTGCACGCTCGCAAGACCATTAATGACCGCCGTGAAGGCTGGTTTATGGAAGGCCGTAACCGTTAACTTATGCCGGAATCGGTAAAAATTAACCAATTACAGTCAATTATTATCTTCACTTTTAACGGTGATTAGACAATTTTTACCGATTCCAGCATAAGTTAACAATTACGGCCGTGCACAAACCTTATCCTAAACCTTAACGCTTATCCTTTACCCTCTATCATTCCCCTACTCTTTTGTTACCCCTACTACTTCACTAGGCAAAGATAAGATGCGACCCAACACCAGCTATCTTGTTATAAAGTTTGTACATACATGTTTTCACACGGGTGAGGTAGGGGACGCGCAGTCTATTCTTACTATGTCCATAATTACAATATGTATTACAATTGTAAGGCTAGGAAAATTTCTAAGTAATTTGTACAGTAAACTATATAAATATTCTATATAAATTATACAAATATTAAACTTCTAAATTTACAAAGTTTTTAAATTTTATTTTAAACAAATTAAAAAAGTGAAAATGTTTTAAATAGATTACTTTAAAATATAAACATTAATATTAGCTTATTTATTTTAAACATAGAAATCTCTTTATTTATTTTAACAGGGCTTCCAGAATTTGACTTTCCACCTTTGGATCCATTAATTTACGATTACGGTAAAGTTTTATTGAGGTCAGGTGAAATACGTGGAGAATTAATTGTGTCAAATCTCACTGCTACCGGTTTATCAAAGGCTCGCTTTCTTGATGTAACTACGCATTTTCTTGATGATGTTTTTCGTTTGAAAATTGATGTACTAGTACCAAAACTCTTTATAAAAGGTGCTGTGACACTAGATGGTACTCTAAATGTATTCAGACTTGCTTCTAAAGGTACGATAATAAGTTCTATATAATCTGCATAAGTAGGGAAAAAGAGGGGAGAGGAGAGAGGGAGATGGAGGGAAGGAGGGAGGGAGGGAGGGGGGGGGAGAAAGAGAGAGAGAAAAATTCCTACGATCCGATAAACGAGGGGCAAGCAACGGGCGATATGCGGAATATCGCTCCACTCCTCATGCATTCATTCGCTCAAACGATTTTGTGTATTACTCAATAACTATTGTGAATTTTACAAAATAGTACATAACTTTACTACTCAGTTTGCCTCGTTCTATCTATCACTCTATGGGTGATTCGGTTAAAACTGAACACCTTGTATACGTATAATAAATTATTGTTTAATATAAATGTAATCATTTTTTAATGAACTAATCAAATTTTTAAAAAAATTTTATAATATTTTTTATTTTATTAAAATAATTTATATAACAGGTTTGTTTAATGTAACGTTGGAAGATGTCAGACAATTATGGGACTTCTCAGGACATGTAGTAAACGATACATGGATTTTAGAACATTTCCATATTGCTCCGTCATTTGGAAAATTTAAAGTATCTTACGAAAGTTTGATAGAAGAAGACAAACAATTTAGTAAGTGTATTAAATTAATTTAGTTATAATTCCACTTATTTACTATTTTTTAAATATGTACTTTTCCTGACCAAAGATGCATAATTAATATACTGTTTACCACAAGTGCATTTAAAATCTGCTATTTTGATAAAAGTATTTTTGGAGTACATAATTAATCAAATATGATTAATCTTTAATTTGTATGTGTGTTACTGTATACAGTTAAAAATATTTTTATTGTAATATCTTGAATATTAAAATATCCGTATAGCTGAAAAATCTAATAGTTAAAATCTTAATATTTTAAAACTAATTTCAATATTCAGAAATCTTCTAAATATCGAAAATATGTATAAAAATGTATTCGTGGTGCATTTTATGTTACGAGTCATAATTACAAAATAATTGTTAATTAGAAAAAAGGATTAAGAAATTAAAAAATAAAATATTTTTTATTACATTTTATCTTAATACTTTTTAATTTAAAACTTTTCTATTTCGCATTTATATACTAATTTTAGATTCATTTGTTTTTAGTTTAAACACAACATTATATGTCAATTTGTATTTTTAGATGATATTGTCGTATCTTTTATAAACGAATTTTGGCCGGCGATATACAGGGTGGTATTGCCATTCTTATCTAACATATGGGATCCATATTTATTTAACATTGCCAATGAGATTTTCTTAAATGTTTCCTTCTCAGAAATATTTCCATAAAGTTTATATATTTATACATTTTAACAGAGTGTCGAATGTGTCATAAAATTAAAAATATTCAGTTTTGCAAATGCAAAAAGTACACGAGCTATAAAAGATACTCGTATATTAATTGATTTCTTTCGCAAGGTCGTACCTCGAATTTACGCAATTTCTGTTTTTTTTTTAAACATTCTTTCTGAACCAGAATGAGCTTGCAAAAGAAACAAGTCGATAATTCTCTGAAATTCTACAATTTAAACTTTGTTTTTCAAACTATTGTTTACCAATAAAATGAATAAATAACTTAATGTATTAATTTCTACAAAATTATTTCTTTCCTATTCTTCCTACATACCATAAGTAATCCATAAGAATAATCAACATTATACTTCTGAATAGGATACGTTTTTAAGAAATAGGGAGAGATAACAAAAACTTTATCGTCATTTGTTTTTAAATCATGGATTAAAAATTATTAAAAGTGCAGCAAAAGTAAAACAACTAATATATTTATTGCTCACAATAAGCAAATTTATTGGAATTAATATTAAATTCAAAATAGTAAAACACAACGTTTCAACCCACGGTTTGGATCCTTTTCAAGTAAATCTAATAACAAATAATGCAGACCGTTCTATTCGCAAAACACACAAATCCTTTCAAATAAGAGTTCTACCTCAAAAGTCATAAGTCAGGGAATATGGCATAAGTATGTGTTGTAATATGGACAGCAACGATGTGATTGTCAATATTACAGTTATTGTGGTCTACAGGTCTTCAGCGACAGTCAACTTATAAAAATTAGAAAGGAAAGAATTAATTCCGAAAATCTACAGTTGCCGAATTCGAGGCTCGTCAAGGCATGATTAGAGGACACTTAGGTATTATAAGATGTGCCACTTTTTTGGCGAGGAAATTAATGGGCTAATAACATATATGCTAATAAATAATAAAAATCAGAATTTAAATATGGGGCCTCTCTCTTGACAGGCAATTTCTCTGACTCTAGACCCTTTCGTCACATCTGACACCTTTCTCGTTAGCCTACTTTAGTTTACTTAATAAAGTAGGAACAATAATGAAAATTAGAATAATATTAACGGTCACATACTTTTTACGTGGACTACAAACACCTCATGTAATGGATGTATGGCATTCTCCTTTTGCATAAGAATTACATTTAAATAAGGAAAAGTCTTATACCTTCTAAAATAAAGAATTAAGTAATAAAAAATTAAATTACCATCTACTACAGTTCACTATCATTTAAAAATATTACAATTTTAAGACTGTACATTGACTGTACATTGAAATATTTTTGAAAAAAATAATTATTCTTCGACACTGCAGTATCAAGTACTATTGAGTTAGAAAGAACGCATTATTATTCACAATGTTGTTATTATTTATTATTTTTATACTAATTGAGCTACTAAATCATTCACTTGTGTTTTGCAAGCTATGCGTGCAATAGAATAACCTCGCGGCTATCGTAGGAATTAACTTTTTTACATCTTATTGATTACGTTTGTCAATAGGTATTATTCAATTTTACTATACGCTAAAATGATTCAAGAGCAGAAAGTATACAGGGTGGTCAATTTAAGTGTGGACATGGAAATATCTCGAAAATTTTTGCGTATGTAAATTTTGTGGATGTTACATTACACAAAAGTTTTCCATAATTGGAGCACTATTGCAGCAGCATATTCCTAAGATCAAATCAAGTAAAAAAGTCCTGTACTTTTCTCTCCGATAAACAGTTATCAAGATATCATAAGCTAAATATTGAAAAAGTTATCAATTTTCTCTTGAATATCTCAAAAAGTATTAGGCAAATAAAAACATGTTTCAGACAAAAGTTGTTCATATTAATTAGTAGAATGAAATAGTATAATAAACAATGGGGGTTTCCATTGAAGATTTCAAAGTTATCCCTCCCTCCCCCTCAGGGGGTGTGGGTGGGGGCCAATTTTGGTTCCAGTGGATAGGCCCCTTTGAGACAAACAACTTTTACTCCGAGCATTGTTTTTTATCTGATGCATAGTTTTCGAGATATTTCCATGTCCACACTTAAATTGACCACCCTGTATAAAACTCAGCGTCTACCATAGACTTTTGTAATACCTGAGGACTACAAATCTTCCATCCATATATACAAGCTCAAAAATTAGTGAAGGACTTGTAATTATTTTCTGGTAAAGCAAAAACGCGTAGTGTTTGTCAGTACTACTGTACTATAGTACATGCTCGTCACACTAATATTAAGAAATGCATCCGTGAGTTGTCAAACCGGCATTCCCCACCACAATGTGGTCTGCCGGTTTTACGCTACAGAAGTTCAACAGTCCAAATATATATGTAGAACAGTATACAAGTGTTCTTCGCACGTACCGATTGAATTATTCGCAGGATTAAACAAAGAACATGTTATTCTACATGCTTATTGCATTCAGCATTGCAGCACTTGGATTATCTACAACTGGGGAACCTACACTTCGTAAGTTTGTTTTAAGAATTCTTTGTCATAACATTTTCAATAATACTGCCGCGTATCCGCATTTAATGTCAGTATTTATTGTACAACATTTAGTGTTGATATAAAAATGATTTTAAATAACAAATTTGTAAAATGACGAATATACAAATAAAAATATTCTCTAATATAGAAAAATTGCATGACGACCAATGGCTGCCAAATTCTAATTAAAGAAATTCATTGCGAAAAATATTACTTCAGCCAGGATTTGAACCTAGACTTCCCTATACACTCTAGGCGAGCGTCTCACCAATTCGATCACTGACGGCATCAGTAGTCGAATTGGTGAGACGCCCGCCTAGAGTGTAGGGAGGTCTAGGTTTAAACCCTGGCTGAAGTAATATTTTTCGCAATGAATTTCTTTAATTAGAATTTGGCAGCCATTGGTCGTCATGCAATTTTTCTACATTGTTTAATCAATTACTGGCGTTAAATAATTCTTTACGAAAAATATTCTCTATTACAATTCTTTATTGCACCATAATCGCAATTAATCGCTAAAATATTCTGCTAATAATTATCTTTTTGTATTCGTGAATTGTTCTGTTAAAGAATTAACTCCTCTTATTAAATGTTTCGTGATTTTTTAAACAAGTCCTGTTCTTATTTATACTTAATTTGTACCTGTAATTTATACTTAATTTGTACCTGTAATAGTTTTTACATAAATCAAGAATACTATACATATATCTATTACAAGAGCAATATTTCATATGTTAGAAAAACAAAAACAAAATTCTCTTTTATTCACAATTTAAATTTCTAATAGTGTACATATTCTAGAAGAAAACCAATTATTAATAAGTAAGTAAAACTTTAATCTATAAGCGATACTCACAAGTAAATAGATATATACCATCTTCGATTCGAAACTGAGCATCTCTTTAAATTTGTCTATCAAAATTTCTTTAAATTTTTATTGTTTTATTGTAACGCTAAATTTTTGGGATTACTATATATTTGTCATTATCTTTCATAATGTGAAGTTATTGACATCGTTTTATTCTAATTATTTATTAATCAAGTTTATTTTGCATAAGATGTATAATGCTTGAAATAAGTGAAAATAATGTGTACTAATCAAAGTTCTATGCTTTCGTACTTTTCTAATAAAATATTATCGTGTATTATAGATCCATGTATAAATTCGTACAGTCGAGTTTGCGAGTCAAAAACTTTAGAAATTTTATTTATTCTGCATTTTTTGCGGTATCTATTAATATAACTTATTCAATTCGACATTTGCTAGATGCCACACGGGTGCAAAAATTTTCCGTTCTTTTAGTCATTATATTTTATCATTTTGTCGTTTTCAGATAAATTTTGATAAACTACTTTTGTCGTTATATGCAAAAATAAAGAAACGACAGCAGTAGAAACCAAAAGAATTTTGTGCAATATGGTGAAGAAGTAGTGTCAGTGAAAAGCATGTGAAAAGTAGTACAGACACCGGAGAGAAAAGTAGTACAGACTTCCGGAGAAGTGATTTTCATTTGGATGACTTGATAACGTTTTTGCCTCAAAACTAATGATCGTAACACCCGTTTGCTGTGAGAACATTACCAGAAAGTTATCAAAAGCGACGGAAAATGTTTTGAATATGAAATGTTGCAATCTATTTTTACAAGAATTTGAATTTGCCAAAAAGACTTAAAAACATATGCATAGTCCTAATATTCTTAATATCTTTCCAGTGCCTTAAATGGCAATACTAAAAATACTGTTAAATTTATTTTAAAAATGTCAAGTTATCTCTAGTCTTCAATCTTTATTTCAATCTCATTCATCTCATCACAGCGAAACTTAAATAATACTTACGAGCATCAAAAAATTAAATCACAATTATCGATTTAAAAATGTTGAGTTTAATATTTCAAAGAAAAAAATTATATTTCAAAACGGATAACTAATCGACGCGCGATAAAAAGTAAAAAAATTTACACAAGAAAAAATATCAAGGTACAAATATCCAAAGTTGGCATAACTGTATTTACTTGTAAAAAATGTTAATTATTTTTTAATCATATTACTAATTATATTGTTAAAAACTGTTACAGTTTTATATTTCTACCACTATTACATTTAATTTTATATCTATTTTTACTGCCTTCAGCTGTAACCACTTGCAAGAGGAATTCAAATCATTATTCCACTTGTTTGAAGCACGCTATGGAAGAAGCATGGCCACGATTTATGGCAGGTACTTTTCAAAATTTATAAATTATTATTTTTATTTATATATACACAATTACATTATTGCGATGCTAGAAAAGTTTCAAAGATTAATTAAGATTTATAGTAAACTACATGTATACATATATACATATATTATAAATTATAAAAATATTACACTCATATAAATTTACAAAGTTTTTAAATTTTATTTAAAACAAGTAAAAAAATTTTTTTAAAATTAGATTACTCCAAAATATAAATGTTAATATTAACTTATTTATTTTGATAGGACTTCCAGAATATAATTTTCCACCTTTAGATCCATTATTTTACGAATACGGTAGAGTTTCATTTGGGCCAGGTATAGTAAATGGAGAATTAATTGTGTCAAATGTCACTCTTATCGGTCTATCAAATTCTCGTGTAGTTGATGTAACTACGCATTATTTTAATAATACTTTCCACTTGGACTTGGATATAAAGTTACCAACGTTATTTATCAAAGGCGCTCTGGACATAGATGGTACTATAAGTCTAATCAGAATTGTTAATAAAGGTACGATAATAAGTTCTATATAATCTCCATGTGTGTGTGTGTGAGAGAGAGAGAGAGAGAGAGAGAGAGGGATTATTTATTTTAATTATTATATGCATGATAACAAAAGATTAATCACACGTGTATGTGTACACTAATAACAAAAATATCACAAGCAAAAAAAATATTACTCAAGAGAATTATTCATTAGGTGGCTCCTAATAGCTTATTAACTGAAATTGTAAAAATAATAAACAAATTAAAACATGCATTGCTTTAATTTAAGTATTTATTAAATATCAAAGAATAGATAATTTTTAATTTAAAAAAATTTATTTTAATTCTATAAAAGTTCACTAATTGTAAGATCTAATTTTTACAGCGAACAAAATTGGTTTTCTTATTACAAAAACAATTATTTCATTTAATAAATAGTATTCTGTATCTCATGAAATCTTTATTTGAATGTAGAAAACGTAATTATAAAAATTAATGTGCTTAATATGATACATAGATTTACTTGAAATTTGATATTTTTATTTAAATAAAATAAATATTTACTTCAGTAGAAAAAATAATTTTAAGTAAATTTATTTACTTAGTTTAAAAAATATTTTTGTCAGTATATTACAACCACCCGTAAAAGAACGAGTCACCAAATTTTAATATAATTTTTTAATATCTTTCAATAGCAATAACTCAGCAAAAAAATCATCATATTAAAATCAAACGTAGCTCCAATTAAAACTATTTACTGTAATATTAATTGATTAAGAAATTTAATATCCATACGTCGACATTGATTTGTTTAATATGTATCAATAAATACATTTACGTATATTACACATGCAAATATTAACAACAAATTAATTTTACATAAAATCAATAATGTTTGAAAAAAGTATATCTATAATAATAACGATGCAAAATTGTTTATTATAAGTGTAATTATTTTTAAACAAACTATAATTTTTTTTCATTATTGTTCTTTTATTACAAAATACTGCATACTTTTAGTATTGAAATAATTTCTGTAACAGGCGACTTTAATCTAACAGCGGAAGATGTCATGGAATCATGGAAAATAGCAGGCCATGTAATAAACGATACGTGGGTTGTAGAGCAGTTCCATCTTGTACCGTCATTTAAAAAATTTAAAGTATATCACAAAAGTAAACCGTTATACAACGAAAGACTTGGTAAGTGTATTAAATTAATTTAGTTATAACTTCATTTATTTGTCATTTTTTAGATATGCATTGAATCATTAGGTATAAATAAAAATTCATGCTGCTGTGCGTGACAGCAGCACAATCTGGCAACGTCACATTTATGAAATATCGTAATGGTTTATTGTATATTACTGGTTTATTGTTAGATTACCGACCTCATTAAAAAAATTTTCCACGTTGTGTTATGTTAACAGTCATAATAATAAGATGACTATCCTCAAAAGAATAGCAAAATTTTTAACTATACCTATACCTCACGAATTAGAAATATAATATATATTATTACCAATTAGAAATTAAAGAGGTCGTTTAGGACCGGGCATAGGTGAAGTAGCCAGTTAAAAACTAATGATTAAAAAACTAATCTAATTGATTTTATATCCTAAAGGACCTATGTTAAAAAAATTGTAGTATATATTATTACGTGTTATCTTAATATTTTTTTAATTAAACTTTTCCTTTCATCTAATTCTTACATGTATAATGTAACTGTTTATATGTAGGTATAGTAATTTTATATTAACTCAATTTTTATCAAAATACTTTGTTATATGTCAATTTTTATTTTCAGCTAATTTTGTCGTAAATTTTATAAACCAATTTTGGCCAATATTGTCTGAAGCGGCATTGCCATTCATGAGCAATTATTGGGATTCATGGTCGGCTGATGTAACGAATAAGTTTTTCTCAAAAGTTTCTTTTTCAAAAATATTTCCATAAAGTTTGTTTATATATTATGTCCGCAGATTGTCAAATTTCTTATGTGATACTCAACCCACATTTAATTCTACTAATACAACAAAAGGTATATGATTTGTTCCTCTGAAATTTTATAATTCAAACTTTTCTTGTACTGCTGTTTGTAGCCACACTAAATAAATAACTTAAAGTATATTTATTTTAATGCATAATTATTTGTGTGGGAGGTCCCGTTTGCCGACATTCCCGATTGCCAACAGTTTCGTTTGCCCACAACATTTTGTGGCATCTGCATGTGACAGTGCAATCTGCATGTGTGCAATAATTACGCGCGCAATGTGTTTGTGCATAATAAGACCATGTGCGCAAACGTACTTTTGTATTACATGTGCGCAATACTGCTTGTGGGCAATCGGTTTATAGGCAATCAGGAGTGTCGGCAACTGAAACTGTCGGCAAAATGTTGTGAGCAAACGAAGCTGTTGGTAATCGAGAATGTAGGCAAATGAAGCCCCCTCTGTTATCTAGAAAAAGAAAGACATCACACAAAAATGAAACCTTTGTTCATAAATCTTATAAATCATTATCTGATAAATCATCGATCAAAGATTACAATACATGAAACAGGAATATAATCTGGACATACAACTCAATCTTGTAATAGACTTAGAATATAAATAAATCGGACCGACACTAAACAAGAGAATTGTTGTCTCTTGCTTCTCAGTATTACAATTTAATCGATACTTCCTAAACACGCCATCGAATAAAACAGAGTCAGCAAAGATTAATAAAACCAATAAAATACTTTTTTTTATTTCTCTTACATGTGCATGTGTTATTATTATTCGTTATGTTAATATGATCTTGAGACAGGATCTTGAGAGTTGAAGTTATATAAAACGTAGCCTCTATGATCAATCGAAGTATTCGCAGTTATAATTAACAGAGAACATGTTGTTCTATGTGCTTACAGTTAGTGTATTCGGCATTGCGACATTTGGATTATCCCCAGTTGCAGAATCTAATATTTGTAAGATTTTTTTTAAAGAATTCTTTGAGCCTATTTACACGTTTTGATTATTATAAATCTCAATCTACCAATTACACACATAGATAGTTTACTGCACAAATCAGTATTTAATTTACATAAAAATAATTTCAAACAAGAAATTATGAAATATTTTTAATAAATGCACAACAAGTGAAGAGATAATTTAGTACAGATCAGTACAAACTTGTAATAAATGTCGCTGAAATACTTAAAAATTTTGGTAATACCTAAGTTCTTGTCTAAATTATACAGAGTTCTTCTGTTATAAAGAGTTTCCTTTTGTTAAATTCCACTTCATGTTTTTCTAAGTTACGCTCTAATTAATATTTACAAGTTGTTTTAATTTTTGTAAATTACGCGGAAATCGCAAAATAAACGTATCATATAAACCACACAAACTATTTATTGTACTAGCAATAAAAAAAGTAAAAGGGAATCTTTTCATGATCGCACCATAAACATCTAGCAACTTTCATATGTATATATGAATAAAAAGTATATAGCCTAATTACATCCTAAATTAATTCTAACTTAGGAGTCATGCTCAGATAGAAACTTAAAAAAATTGATTTTTGGGTTTTAACATTTTTTGTAAGTACATTTAAAGAATATTCCCTGAAAGTTTCAAGTTCATTCAATTAAAATTGGCAGAATTATATGCCTACAAAGTATACTCTGCTCGATCATTAGGAGCAGATATATGTGTAGTGCAGCAGTTGCGCGCAGGACAAAGGCCGCTTTTCTCTAGCTATTTTTATGAGTCATACTGCCGTAAATATATACTTGTATTAGTAAGTACAAGGAGAGTTGTAATTAACGGATATGGAAAATCAGTCCAAAAATTACACCAAGGGGATTGAAAACCAATGAGCTTGCTGCACATCTCTGCATGTTTAACGAAGATTTCGAAGCATTATTACAAATGTTTCGAGACTATGGAGGTACACAGTGGCTCAAACACTCACCAATGTGTGGTGAGAATGCAGTCTGTATAGTTGATAGTCGACTGCCGCATGCAGCAGGCCATGGAAAGGAAGAATATTTCAATGTTTCAGAACCAAATTGAACCAAATATTTCGAAAGCTACAACCTTCTCAGAAAATATATTATATGGGCCTAAAATAGATGACTCTATGTAAGTTAAAATATGTCGAACATTTTACACATCAGTCTTGAAATTTTAAACTTACGCGTTTTTCTCGAAATTGCATTTTTTAAATCGGTGACCAAGATATCTCAAAAACCAATGCATTAATTTATTTCACATTATACAGATTTATTTTAGATATAAAAACTAGTTGTTGAATGGAGTATATTTTTTACGGTGTATAGTTTTTTATTAACCAAAAACGAGCAATCAAAAATCAAAACTTTAACTTTAATGTCCACCATTGTGTCCATATTAAAAAAAACTGTTCGACTAAGAGGACTAGATAATTTAATATATTACACAAATCTTTTCAAATTTTTTATTTTAGATGATCCACATTCGAGCAGTGGTGGTCACCGCAAAACAATTTTTTCAAAAGGACCTTCGAGAGGATGGCCATATTTTATTTATTAATTACTTTCCATTAAAAATTATATTTAACTCATAAAAATAGTATTTTATATACAGGGTGCTACGCAAGACTTTGACGTCCGGTCATGGGAAGGTAGAGGGG